CCGCCCCGTTTTGTTTCCAGCTTCACTGTCTGCGATAAGCATAGGCTTGTAGAGCCCTGGGCAGGTGTTTGCACCATAAGCAAAACCATGTAAAAGCTGCCAAAAAAGAGGTGCTTTAGAGAACAAGAAGTAAGCAAATTGAGGGATGAATTCTGCTGCCATTTAATCCATTGAAGGATGAATTGTTTTACTAGATAGCCTGTTGGCCAAAAGATTTTTTAGAAGTAAAGAAAGGCGGAGGAGTAGCATAGGTGGCAAATTCCAGTGCTGACAAACACAGGATACACAAACCCGAAAGCATGTGCAGACACATGTTAATCATACATTTCAGCTGTAAAATCGTAGGGTAACAACACCACATCCAGAGTTTTCAGGTGTAACTTTTCAGGTTGATAATTTAATCCTTTATTGAGCAGTATTTTTAAATATATTATGACACAATGAATGAGCAAAGTGAATGAGCACCTGAACAAAATGAAGAGAGGATCTTTGTTTCTGGAGTCAACTTTTCCAGTATAATCTTTGCTGCCAGCAGTGAATACATCAGATGTATTTACATCCTATCTGTGCAAGAGGATGTTTATGGATATGACATATGCTGCTCTGCACCCTTGAAACCTGAGAACTAGATTCTCTCTCAGTGCCATGTGCATCTCTGTTGATTTCAGAAATATGATATCCTGCAATAATGAGCATGGTATAAGAATCTAAATAGATTCATAGACATATGGACAGACAGATGGATTAAGGCAGACTTTGTCACTTTGTCCCTAAAAATCCTTTGTGATACTTATCTTTTGTGTACACAGTGACGCTAAGGTGTCAGTCCAGATCATTTCCCTTAACTTAGTAATATTTTATGGATTTACATGAAGTTTTTACTTGACAACATGGAGGAGTGTGTGTGTACATTTTGCAGAAATGTACTGGTGCTAGTAATATAAACCATTTTCATTCTATTTTGAAAAACGTTGTGAAGGTATAAATTATGTTTGAACTGGACAGAGATGATGATGTGGCATGTGACTGAAAATATATATTTTTTAATAGATGATTCAGCCGCAGAGAGTTTTAATGGCAATGAGACCGTGGGACACAGTTCCAATGCTTCAGGGGGAACACACTGCAGGGAGATGGCAGAAACCAACAGTAATGGCAAAACAAATCTGGAGCAGGATGAGCAGCCTCTGAACCTGAGTGACAGTCCCCTCTCTGCTCAGCTGACTTCAGAATACAGACTAGATGATCACAGCAGTAATGGAAAGAACAAATACAAGACTCTCCTAATTTCTGATCTCAAGATGGAACGGGAGGCAAGAGAAAATGGAAGCAAGGTAAGATGCTTCCACATGCTCCAGATATGAAGTGTGTAGCTTAGAAAAGGAAAAGATTTGTGAGGCCAAACCAAAGGTTATTCCCAGCTAAGCACTTAATGCAATGTGTCTAATGTTTGTCACATCATTACTCAAATGCTATACATAGATTTGTATGCTCTGTTACACATATATGATGCATACGTACATTAAGTGTATGTGGATGTACATGGGTGAATACACGTATATAGGCATATATGTTGTGCTGACGCACTGACAAAGACCAGTGCAGTTCTCCATCAGGCATGAATTTTATCGGTCCATTTATTGAGAACTGTCTACATTACCCATTTGAAATATATATATATTAAAATATGTATATAATGTAATACATATATATATGTATATATACTGGGATACATATATCTATGTATATTTATAGATGACCATCTCATTACATGTATTATGTATCTGTAGAATGAATCCATATGAATGTTAAGTGTGTATGCCCAAGCAAATGACTACATGTGAATTATCAACATCTGAAAGGAACTGATTTGGTTCCTTCCTGATTGTTTGTGTTATGCAGGCACCTAACCTGAATTAAAACTGACAAGTTTGCTTTAAGAAGCTGTAATCCCCTGGGGGCTTTTCTCTGTAGTTTCCATTATGTGAGTAAGGAAAAGCGAGGGTGGTTAAATTGTAGATAAAGACAGATCCTATAGATGAGATAGCTAGCTTTCTAGGAAGGTGTTTGTCATGAGGGCATACTGTAGGGAGGGTGAAGAAATGGCCTGTATCATAGAATTTATCCATTGATCTTATTGGTGACAAGTTCCTGTTTTTTATCTGATAACTCCCAACTGGATTACCACTTTTACAGCAGCAATAATAGGATGTTAGTACTGGATCCAAATGCTGTTAATGCTAGTCACTAGCTTTCAGTAGCTCACTACAAAATAACCTGACAACATAGATACACTTTGAATGGCCACATTTTTTTCAGGGCTTTGAAATTGGAGTGATATGGAAAATCACTTTTTCTAGGTATATCCAGAAAGGGATTGTACATGACTGATGTCTAGAGAACAACATTTATTTATGCTAAAGTTTCAACTCCTGTCTTCAGTGCCTGCGGAGTAAAAATAAAAACTTGAAATGTTTTTTTAACTCAAGCGTCTGGTTTTGGTGGGTAGAAGAAAGGGAGACCAAATGGGAGATTGTTAGTCTTTCTCTTTCTTGGCCATTCCAGTTTAGCAAATCATGTATCACAAAACCTCCATGAAATCTTTATGAAAACCTGTTTAACTGCATGGAATATTTTTGTTTCCACAAATTTTCGTTTTATTGAAAATGTTTTGAATAGCTTTAGTCTCAGAGTGTGTATACACTCCAGTGCTGGATTTACTCAGTACTTGGACTGTTGCACAGTGTGTCCCAAATTGGCTAATATGAACAGTATCTTCATTTGCTCCAGGGCACATTGTTCCAATGAACCTTTTATAAGCCAGTCACCCAAATATTGATAGACACACAGGCTCTTTTGCCTGAGGTCCATTGCCGCTTCTGCCATTACTCTTGCAAATACACAAATAAGCTTGGGGAAGAAAGGGAGGCGTCTTAATGTGGAATTCATTTATAGCTATGACAAGAACATAGCCTAAGTTACATTTCCAATTTTAATCAGTTCCAACTCAGATGCAAAAAAATGTATCAAAAAGTGTTAAAAATCTGTTTCTAATGAATTGAGATGACAATCAAAGCCATCTCATTCTTTGTTATTCTACAAATTTTAAGAGGCCTAAATCATCCCCCACATCGATACATTCTTTCATCACTCACTGTCATCCTACCCACTCTATACTGCCAACAATATGCAGATTTGTCTTCCCTTTCTGTCCTAGTGAAACTTATGTTGATGTTTACAGTTCATTTAAGTATATGATTTATTAGGTATGCAGTAAAGATTATTAACTATGGAGTGAAGACTTCAGGAAATACGTGCTCCTGGGATAAACAAAAATTTGTCAGAGATTTGTAAGCTGAGTTTAGAGCAGAAGAGTGCTTTTGTGGCCAATTTCATATTTTACAGATGAATTCTACTCTTACTTTTTAAATTTTAAAAAAGTTACAGAATATTTTTAGAAGGAACAAAACCCATCAGTGTATTAGAATAGAACGGGACTGTACAGCATCTCAGTGTTTCATATGCATACATATACACTCATATAAATCATTACTACTGTTTTACTTTAAGCGGATTGTTACCTGCTAAAGAGCCAGAGAATGTTTTACAAGCCCTAGACCTGATCAAGGAGGTCCTCTTGCCTTCCTGTGATGATTCAGGTTACTGGGCCCCACCAGAAGACTGTTCTGGCCATTACTGAGCTGATAAATTTTGAACAATGCAGAAGATCAAACTCCTAGTTGCATGCAGTACCCAGTGGATGCTCTTGGGCAAGTGTATCACAAGGAACTAGCCAGAACTCTAATTCTCTGCCAAAAAGGAAACAAAATAAAGAACAAGTAAGGTTAACAGAGTACTATAGTTTACGAGAAGCCACTTCTTGCATATCCTTTTTACCCAGAACACACCAAATATGTGGGTTGTTTTTTGAAGTTGTCTAGGAATTCTCCCAGCGCTCTCGCAGCATCTAACCTCCAGCCATTCACAGTTACACAGTTATCAGACATGATTAGACCTGAATAATGGCATCATTGGTAGTGATGGGTAAGCAAATGTGTTTAGCGTAACCTCTAATCATGTTTTCATGAGAAAATCATCTGCAGTGTTCACCAAATATCAAATTAATATGCCACTTCTTGTAATGTAGTATTCTTACGGTATCTTTATATGGCAAAGAATTGAGAAAAGTTATATGAGAAGTTAGTGAAGAAAATATCTGGTTTCTAAATGAAGGGAAATATATTTTAATTATTGGGCTAGCATTGCAGGAAGTAATACATTATACTTCCTTCAGCTTCTACAATGAACCATTCAGCCTGCAGAAGATGTTACTTGCTTGAAATGGCCAGGACTCTGTGAAACCCACAGTCAAAGGGCTGGAGCTGGGAAGATCTGTTGGCTGACACGTTCCCTACCTGCTCTGTCTGAGTCTCCTTTTTGGATACTGCATCATATATGTTTTATTAAATTTGAAGCCGCAGTTTCTCTGGTCAACTTGCATCCATTCTGACCTGTCACTGGGTTTAAAGATAACACATCAGAGCTGAATCTAGCCACAAAAAGCCAAAAGATTACTTTTTCGGTTGAAAATTATCAACACATTATACCTCCTCCACCAAATCACAGATTTTTTAAGGGAGTTTATTTTTTCTGGAAACAAGCAGTTTTGCTGAACTATAGTATAGGTATTTGCCTGTACAACACTGTTTGCAAGAACAATATTTCCTTCACATGTGTAGTGGTGGGCTCCACCATTTGACAATGCAGTTCTGATTGATAATTTTGTACATGCTTCAGAAATATGATCAGAAGAAGCAGTTGGGATAAAAATGGTAGGTTTTCCATCATATTTTCTTTCCAAATCTGACAGCTAATAGGTAAATGTTTTTTGAAAATGGTTACTTCTTTGTGGAAGTTCAATTTTTAGAATATTCATCTTGTCAATACCTATTTGAAGCAATTATATGCTTATACTATATGGAAAGTTTGCTGGATAGTGGCCTCATTCTGTGAGAGTCTTGGATGTCAAAACAGGGATACTTAACATTTTCCTGAAATCAGGCCTCTCTAATGTACACAGAAGAAGTCATTAGTGATTTGTAAGAAATGTCATTTTTTGGGAATAATAAATCAAGTTTTCTTGTCTGAAAAGACTCTGATGAATAACTGGAGATTAGATAACCCTGTGAATAAATTTTAATTCAACTTTTCAAGCTACTAGGGTATATTATTTAAAGAATGCTCTGTTCAGTCACTTCAGAATATGACTTTTAAAACTGATGTTGATAACACTTTTTAAACAAGAATGACATTTCAGTGGACAGTGTAACTTTACTCTTTGAATCCTCAGTTTCAGGCAGTGAGTATGTATAGTAACCTCTTCTTTGTGTAAAAAGACCACATGCTGAGTGCAGTGGAGGGAGTTGCCAAACTGTAACATAACCTTAAAATCTGGTGCAAAACGTTTTACCATTCACTGAAAAAAATGTTATGCAAGGAAGAAATGGGTTTTCATAGTCTTAAATATATATATGTAAGTATGTATGTGTATATGTATATGTGTATATATATACTTTATATATATGCTTTTATTAAACTGATATTAGGGAACTGATCCTACAGTAAGACTCAGATGTTCGCGGCAGTAGAACTTTCTACAACCATTTAGGGCTAAACTGAAGTCAGTGAAATTTTGTATAGCTGTGAAAATATATACGTAAATTTGCCTTAACAGGGCTGGGTCTTTGTACTACAGAAGACTTATACTCATCTGTAAATGCTCTGCAAATGCAGTTCTATGAATTCAAATAGTTAAATGCACATAGAAATCATTTTAGATCATTATATATTTATGTGTGAGACTGCTGGGTTTCTGTATGACCATGGTGAAATCTCTGTAGCACTGAGATTTTTGATTTCTGATTCTTGTGTTACTGCTTTTTCCTAGACCATATATTTTATTTTGAAAACTCATTATATAGCTTTATCTCCTCCACATCATTTATTTCATGAAATACAGCAAGCCCACTCCTTTTAAATGATTTTGTCTTTTCTGTATTTGGATAACAAGGTTATTGTGATACAGCATAGGAAAACAGGTTTTTGAGCTAACCAGCCATACTTATATTGTGCCATGTATTAATAAATAGTTCATTATGTCTGTATTGCAAAGGACGTTCCTAATATGCAAGACTTCTCTTTGGCATTTCCCAGATAGAAACATGTGCTACTGATTATGGATGCCTAGGAGATACATGAAAGTGAGGTAACAAGGAGGACACACACCATGTGTCCATTTTGTCCAGATACCTACTAATTGCGGACAGTTGGTTAA